CAAGGATACAGCAGGATGTGAATAAAGGCAGCTGGCAGATGTGCAGAGAGATTCCCGTGGTTCCAGGATTAGGGGTGGCAGAAGGCCTTGCAGGTCTCCCCCCAGCATTCCCATTTCCCCAGCAGAAGCAGGATTGGATGCTGGCTATGAGGATTGCCTGGGTACCCTGCACTGCAGCACTTCCAGAGACATGGACACTGTGTGTACACTCTCTGTGTAGCCCAACTTTACTGTCTCTGCCTGGCAAAGCTGCCTGAGCTCTATCTTAACCTCCTCTGCTGCAAAGCCTCCCCCACCTCTGTTGTCCCTCGGGGACTTGCAGCACATCTGGTTGCCATCTTCTTTATAAGAGAATTTAAAACCTGTAAGACTGCTGCTGTGCCATCTCCAGGCTGCCCCTTTGCCAGACCATACCAGTCCCTTTCTTCTGAGCTTTCCTTGCAAATCCCATTTTCCAACTCTTCAGCCTTCCTTGGAATTTTTCCTTGGGTTTCTGTACGGTATTTTTACATGTTCCATAAGAATTGGTGCCCCAAGCTGCACAGAACAGTCCAGCTAAAGTCTTCTGGCAGGAAGTACAGTAGAGGAGTTTCTTTTTGCATCTTGTATGACACTCCTGTTAACAGATCTTAGAGGGACTCGTGCTTCAGATGCAGCTTCCCCCTGTAAAATTGCTTCTCACTGTCTGATTCACTATTCCACAGATTCCTTTGTACAATCCTGCTGCTTTGTGGGCTGTTCCCTAAATTGCATCTGTTCACTAGGTGTTCCCTTTCTGTGTGTTGTGGCTGCCATCAGCACAAAGCTGAGGTACCAGCAGGGATGCTGGAGGAATCCCCCTGGAACTGGGCCTGCCCTCCACACCACTCTGGTGTCCTGGCAGACCTGGGAGCACGTTTCTGGGATGTGGGGTGTTGCTGTGGAGATGACATTTGCCATCCACATTTATAATGACCTGAAACAATTCACTCTGTAATTAAAACAAGATCTGTGCTGCCATAACCCCAAGGAAATAGTGACTTACTGGAGGCGGGCAGGGGGGCGGGAAGTGGATTTCATTGTTGGCTCTGCTGGGGTGGCTCCAGCTCCCCCTGCGCTGCCCCGTCCTGCTCTGCTTTGCTCACAGGGCCTGTTCTGCCTCTGCTTCCTGGCTCAAAGTCCAGAACAAGTCTGTGTAAAGTCTAGGCTGCGTTCTTCCTCACTCTTGTCATCCAGAGTGGTTGTCTTCAGGACGTTCATTCAGTGTTCCCTCAATCCAGTTTTTGGAATTGTGCTCTGCAACTACCTGCGAACTGACTCAATGCCACTATTTTACTATCCACCACCACTTTTCCTTCCCACCTCTAAGCCTTTGCCACAGGTTCAAGTGTGAAGAAAGCAGGTGTCCCTGCTTTCCTTGCTTGCTGGCAGAGACCAGCCTTCAGGTGGGTCATCCAGCAACCCGAGCTCTGGCGGCAACATTACTGAACCAGGTTTTCTGTGTTCAGCTGATGCTACTCAGGCATCATCCCTGCAGAGCTGGCTGGGAACACCCCACAGCCTGGGTGATGGTCCTACTGCTCTGTAGGCTGGGAGCAAAGTGTCAGGCTGTTGGATTTGGAGGGGCTCACGTGGCACAGGTGGGATCCGAGCACCTTGTGGTTGTGTGTCGAACAATGTGCCGTCTGTCACGCAGGCTTTGTTCCCATCCCTTCCCCAAGGGGAGAAGCAAGTGCAACAGGGTCTTGCTTTTACTGTCCTCTCTCCCATTTCAAACAATGTGCAGTTTTTGCTGTGCCTCTCTGCAGAGGGAGGCAGTGCAAAGCAGAGTGCCGTGCTCTCTTTGGGGGAGTGGGGAAATCTGGGGGGTTCTTGGAGCAGGGAGGAGCTCATTTCATAGTGCAGGCAAAAGGCAGAGAGGATTGCTGGGTACTGCTTTGTGCTGGAGGGGCGCAGCCCTTCCCGCACACTTCCTCTGTGAGGTCCCTGCAAATAATAATGCAGAAGAAAATGAGTGAGAATAATCCAGCAATTTTGCTTTCAGACTCTCGTGATGGCCAAGTTGATGTGTAGCGAGGCGGTGCCGCCGCTGTGGCCTTTGTGGTGCGGGGAAGGACCTCGAGCTCCCCCACCCCACTGAGCGGGTGCTGAGCAGGTTTGAGGTTCCCCATCCTTCCCCCTCTGCTTGGTCATGGCTGGTCAGAGCTCCTGACCCTGCTGGTTCCCCATTTTCTTATTCCAGCTCTCGCTATCTCTGTGCAGTTGCTCGGGACACAGGCTCAGTTCTTTGCTGAGTTCTGTCTCAAAATATGAAATGCAGTCCTTTATTTTGCTTGTGCCATGGAGACTTGGTCCTTTTTATCCTGAGTGGACTTGGAGAAGGTGGGCTTTCAGAGGAGCTGGCACTGCTGGATTGGAGGCTGCCTCTCTTTGGGAAGGAGTATCTGGGTACAGATGCATGCAGATCCCAGCTCCTTGATATGGCCACAAATTCCAGTTACCCTTGAGAGAGGAGATGGTAGGCTTCATCAAGAAGGGTGGCTGGAGGTGGTGGGCCAAGCTAGCAGGGTAGAAAGGGTGCATAGCAGCAGGGCCTCTCTGCTCATGTGTGCACCCAGCCAGCCTGCACGAGAGCTGGGGCCTGTGGGGGATTTGGGCTGCACCACAGGCTTGGGTCCACTCCTGAAATGCAAAGAGTTAGAGGAAGGAGGCCTGTTGCAAAATGCTCCTTCTTCTGGTTACCACAGAGACCAGCACGGTTTCAGAGACTGAACTATCCTTGGTAGCAAAAAGTGCTAACTCAGCCTTTCCTCCCACTTCCATCAGGGCTCTGTTTGGCCTTAGAAGAGCCGTGCAGGGCACTGCGGCTTCTTGCAGGTGCCCTGGGAAAGCAGGAGGTGAGGGGCGGGACAAGGCAGTGTTGGGAGGGATGCTGTGCAGCGGCGAGATGGGGTGTTGTGGGGACAGTCACCAGTCAGGGGAGATCTGGGGAAGCAGGCAGACAGGGAGGTAGTGAAGGAAAGTGAAGTAGGAGTGTGAAGACGACTTTAGAAAGAGAGGGAGCAGAGTAGGCTGCAGTAATTCAAGAGGTGAGAGAGAGCCCCGATGGCAAAGTTTTCCTCCTACAAGGATGCACGTGACAAACTCTGACCCTGCTTACCCTTGGTGTTTTTTAGGGTATGTGTGTGCTCTGATGGGGCTGATGCCTTTCTCTGGGTGCTCTTTGGGGTAGCTTAGGGCAAAGCAAACCATCACAAGCCTTGTCTCTCATGAGCTCCAGCCCATCTACAAGTGCTGTAGGTGGACAGAAGGCAGCCCAGGCAGGTTAATCTGGAGGATGAAGTGTGGGTGACCCTGCCATGGGCTGGGCATGGGTGTTGCCATCCCCCTGTCAGTGCTGCCAGCAGTGTGCTCTGGGCTGCTGGCAGGGCCACTGGGCACACCTGCCTAAATAACACAAAAGTGGGCATTTGGGAGCACAGGAAGGTGCTGCAGGGGAGGGGAACAGAGAACTGGCTGAACTATTCCAGGTCTGTTCCAGCTGGGAACTTCAGGATCCTTTGCTATGACAGATTAGAGCAAAGTGCTGTTTCTCCCCTGATGATCTTCCCTGATTCCCAGCCTTCACACTTGGCAACAAGAAGCAGAAAAATCTGGGAGGAACCAGACACTACTTGCATTAATTGGTGTAAATGAGAAGTCATTCTGATTGTGCTGAGTCTGTGCCCCTCTAGCAGAGCAGGATTTGGCCTGTGCTTGTACAGTCATGTGAAGTTTTAACCAGCAATTTGTTTCAACTCCTCTGGACTCACCAAAATATAATCCAGTATTTGCCCAGGCATTGCCTTCATTTTTTTTTCCCAGTGTATGAGAATCTTGCTAAAGGCAGGAACATTTCTGTGTGAGACAGAAAAGGAGGCTGTACAGGCAGAGCTCTCAGAAACATCATTCACATTTGTTATGAAATGTGTCTTCCTGAGCCTTTAAAGACAAGCAGGTGTAGTTAAAAATGAAAGGTGTTTTTGATGGCAGGCCTGAGGGCACTGACAGCTTCAAAGACTGAAAGCACTGTCCTGATTTCTGGCCTGAGATTTTATTTATTCCTTAGGAAAAATTAAAAAGAAATCTTGTTGCTGCTAGGACTCACCACAGACATTTCTCCGGGTTCCCCTCGCTGTAGTCTTTGTTTGCATTACTCCTGTTTAATCTCCTGGGTTTGCTACATTTGTCTTTTAAACAAAAAAGGCGAACACAAATGGCAAGTAAATAAGCTTGTTCAAAACTCTGCGTGTCTTAATTTTTACAGGCAATAATTGCAATCCCAAAACAAATTTAAATACCCTGCCTTTTAGTCAGAAACAGAATGTCTAACGTTTGGCTGTGCAAGAAATTACTTCAAACTGGAGACAAAGCTTTAAAGTCACAGTTAAAGTTCAGCTGGCTCAGTGTCAGGCCTGGCACGTTCTGTCCTCCCTGGACCCTGAGCCTCAGCCCCCTAAACCTCACCCCAGCACTCCTGTACAGGACAGTACCATGTTTCATTTGAGCCTAGTTCTGAGCCTTTGACACCTGAAGGGATCCAAATGTCTGCATCGAGCCATGTTTATCTTGCAATCTCACCGAAAATTCTTCCTGGATACCTCGAAATAGAGCACAGCCTAGGGGGTTTGTTCTCAGTAAAGGAGGGAATGCAAAGATTAATCCAGGAGAATTCCTTGTTTTTAAAGTCTTCCTTTGCTGTGAAGCCAAGCACGCTGAGTCCAGCGAGAGAGCTCTTGCACTTGGCTTCAGTGAGTCTTTGAGGTTGGTGTTTGTGCTGACTCTGGCTTGAACTGTGAGCGTATCTGTTTCTGTTTGTGCTGCAGGAGCTGTTCCGCTCAGCCTGTGCTCACATGGGCAGCGAGAGCAGGGCTGGCTCTCTCTGGACAGCACTAGTGGCTTTCTCCTCTCTCTGTGACTTTATCTTCTGTGTTTCTGGCTAGGAAATCCCAGAGCATGACTGCCTCTGTGTTTTGTTTCAGGCATCAGAGGGTGTTCCTGTGAAGTATTTCGAGAACTTGGAGGAACTGATAGAATTTTACAGGAAGGAGAACATGGGTCTGATATGGCACCTCAAATACCCAGTGCCACGGGAAGAGGAGGAGGCTGCAGATGAACTAGAGGAGGATGCTGGTAAGAGACCTGTGGGGTGACTTGGTGATGCAGACCCTTGACTCTCATCCTGAGACTAGAGATCTGCAGTGCAGGCAGGGGACCAGAGCATAAAATGGAGCAGAGCACAGAGGCCTGAGCTGGCAGGACACTGAGTCGTGTGGTACTGGAGCATCAGTTCAGCTCACCTGAGGGAATACACTGAGACCCTCTGTAGAGTTATACTCTGTCTGGTGTGGGGTGGCTAATCTGTTGTTCCTCCCTGGTCTCGAGCTGGTTTATGTCCAGCCACGTCCCCTGCCTCTGCAGCCCTCTCCCTGCACTGCACCCGTGGGGGCCCTGTCACAGCAGAGATGGGCCCCCCAGGCCTTGGAGCTCTTCTCTCTGCAGTGCCACACACCTGCAGTTGCTGAGGGTCTGGGGTCCTCTGAAACTCAGGCCCCCTCAACTGCTCTGATCTAGGGGGCATTTCTGACAGTCAGAACCAGAGGGCACAGATCCAGCAGTGGCAGACAGTCTAACTCTGTGTACAGAGGCAGATGTAAGATGAAGAGATATGATTGGCATCATCCCAACTATTTTATAGGAAATGTCATGTGTGTTCCTGACACTCATTGGTCTTGGATTGTTCCTTGGATTTTGCCTGGATCATCCCTTGGATCTGTCATTGTTCTCCTGAGCCCCAGGGGAAGGTCATGCCCACAGAGCCATCCTTCCTGTTCTTTCTGACGTCTGTCTGGAAACGATGAGCACTACAATAAAATTGTCTGAAGGACACAGTCCCTGGGACAGATGGACAGGCCTGTGCACTACAGCAGATCAATGTGCCTGTGTGCATTTATGTAACCCAATGCATATCAGACAGGAGCTGGAAGACTTTGGTATGCCATCCTCCTGAAGAAACTGAACAACATTTTGCAAAGCTGCTCAGGAAAGATGTTCCTGGTTTTTGGCCAGCTGCACTGAGTCTCCAGGGCGGGGGAGGCAACTACAGCAAAAATAATACAGAGAGAGGCAAGCAGCAGGGAATGAAGTTCTAGCCAAGACTAAGAGCCTTCAAATGGAGAGAGATTAGCACTGGGGCTGGGCTGCTCGTGTACAGAGTTGGATTTTGTTAAGGCACTTTGGTGCCACGGTGCTGGAGCCATGTAGGGCCTACAGATGTCTGGCCATCTTAGATGTGGAACTGCAGAGGTGGAAGATGAGCACCCTGCAGATGCACCACCCAACTGTGCCATGGCTCAGTGCTTTGGTGGCTCTGTGAATCACAGCACTGCCCACTAGTAGTGGATGAGTCCTGGGGATCTTATTGTAATGCAAATTCCACCATTAGGAAACAACCAACCAAAACCTCACAACTCAAATGGCTACACATGACAGGTGTGCCAAAGTGTTGGAGCAATTGGTATGAAAAGAGAGGTGACCATGTCTGGGATCAATGGAGATGAACCCACTCTTCTCCCAGGAGAGGGAGGTGTGTTGAGCAGCAGGATGACAGAGCAGGAAAACCCTTTGTTCTTCCAGCCCAGGACACAAGGCAGGATATTCAGCCCCTCTGCTGGATCATGGGGTCTATTTTCTCCATCTGTATTTCCTTACTTTAGCTGCTCACTTCTTTCCAGTTTCTGGTGCTCTTTCTGTTACACCCCTCCATCCCTTCTGCCCCAGTAGCAGATCCCCATGATAATGGGAATGATATGGGTGAAGAACATCTGTGTTTTGTAAAATGCTTAGAGTGTATATTCAACTCCATTGCTGTGCAGATGGGATGGCCAGACTGGCTGGGACAGGGTTGCACTGCCAGGCACAGGCAGGTGCTGTCTGCACAAGAGGGCCAAGGCTGGCAGCTCATCCCTCTGGTGGCACCCCACTGACATCCCTGGGAACAGGGCCAGGGCAGTGCCGAGCCCTGGGCTGTCCAGCTCTGACAGAGCCCTCAGAAGGGGTGGCTGCAGGGACTGTGGGGCTCTGCCCTGCCCGGGCTGAGGGGGATGAGGTCCGATGGCTTTACTGGGATGACTGTGCCTTTCCCTTCTTCCTCTCCAGACCTGGTGCCCACGCCTCCCATCCTGCCCCCACGCAACATCCTCATGGCACTGCCGGGTGGTGACACAAAGGAGGTCTCCTCTCTCCCTGAAAACTCCAGAGTGGCAGATAGTAATAAACTGTCCCTTTCTGAGACACTACTCCAGCGCCTGCAGTACCAGGATACGAGCAGGTGAGGATGGCAAGTCACAGGGCTGCAGGACCAGCCTTCAGCCCAACCCTGTGCTCTCTGGGCCTCTGTGTTTGGGACAAATGAGAATGTATTGGATTGAATGAAATTACTCCTCATTTATACTACCGGTGACAGTGCATTGGCTGCTCTTTACAGTCCAGCTGTCATCTAGGAAAAACACTTTTCTGAAGAATTAAAATTTAAATTATTAAAAAATCAAAAAGACTTTCTCCTCTGAGGTGTAGCTTTCTAATATAAAGGATGGTATATTAGCCATATGCCCAAACTACACATTGTGTTGGAAAGCACCAGCCAGTCTTCAGAAGGGATAAACTTGCGTGTGGATTTCCAGGTGCTCAGATTTACTGATCTGCCCCAGCTATGGGTCTGACTCACACTGTCCCACATGCTGTGTCAAATCTGGACGTGCACTGAAGCCTTACAGGAAGCCACATGACATTTAATGACCAGATCTGCAAAGTGTAAAAACAAAACAAAAATACCGTCAGAAGACATGTCTGCTGGCAGGGCAGTGGGAGGCTGTGAGCAAACAGTGGTCGTGTGTGGCAGCACAGGTTGTGTTGTGGTGGCCCAGTAGCAGCTGACTGAGAGAAACCCAGTTTTGTTCAGCTGCCTCCACCATTTCATCTGCATCATCACAAGCAGCCAGCTGGGACTTTCTGCACTTGTCAGGGCACGAGACAGCACAGCACGTACAGTCTGCCTGGTTCACCCTTCCCTGAGGTGCTGGAGTCCGAGCACCACGGAGATGGGGAGGAGGGGAGCACCCTGTACAACTCTGTGGTCTCAGCCCCCCTAATATTGCTTTGGATTGCTTGGAATAAAACCTTCAAAGTGGAACTTGGTGAGGTGAAAGGCAGTCTTCCTCTCCCCAGAGCTCCTGAGCTGCTGACACTGGTGATCTCACAGCAGCCTGGCTTCACCTACCGAGGCTGGTGATGCCACCGTGGCTTTGGCACTTTGGCAAAGCCAGGCATCAAAAGACTTGCCCTGGCGTGGCAGCTCAGGAGTCACAGAGGGTTTGGGGTGGGGAAGGAGGGCGAGGAGAAGGTGTCAGCAGTGGCAGGGGATCCATTGTCCCCTTCTCAGAATTGCATGTTCACACTGAAATCCAAGGCAAACTGCTCCCCACCTGTGTGTGCTGGCAGTGGGAAGTTCAGAAAATTAAGAAAGCTGTTTGATTATTGGGAGTAGAGAGAAGAGCTGGCTTTTGACCTTACTGTTTCTTCACAGTGTCTCTGACGAGCATCTTAAACTCATCCAGGATTACCTGCGAGTTCACATCATCAGTGACTTCGAGATGGTGCAGACTGGCTCAAGCAACCTTCCTCAACTGAAGAAACTGCTTACAGTTCTTTGCAAAGGACTCTTCAGGTAACTAGAAGCTGATTTGCAAAGGATAATGCTGTAACACTGTAGTCTAACACAGGTTCCATGTGCATGCATTCAGAACCCGCATTTCTGGCATAGGAAATTGGCTTGCCCTCAAAAACAGGATATTTAGATCTCATGACCTGTGATTCTGCTCCAAAGATATGAAATCTGTAAAAAAGACAAAGCTCTGACAGTGAAGTTTCCTTGTAGGTGCTTTCAGTCAGTGGAGTATTGTATTTTATGCTTTGTTTAGAAAAAAACAAAACAAAAATGCACTAACTGATTAACTGTATAATTTGGTAACGCATAAATCACACCCACAGAATTGTCAAGCACAAGTAATTTATGGAAACAAGCACATATTGGTCTATAACTAGGTTTTAAACACTGATTTTCCTTCCCACTAATGCACTATGAACTTGGAGTGATTCCACTGATGTTGGTGAAGTCCAGCTTAAATGAAAAAAGGAACAAGCCTAGACTCTAGACTCTACAAATTTTACCTTTCCTATTTATAGACCTTCCATGTCCCAAATAGAAAAACTCCAACAGGGAAGTAAAACCTTGCAGAGCTCTGTCTTTCTCTGGTGGAAGGAGGTGATTCCCCCCTTGCTGCCCATAAGCAAATGAGATCAGCCCACCCTTGTGCAGAGATCCTGCAGCACATGAGGGCACATCCCTGCTATCCATGGCTTGCAATCCCCTTCTCTCTGGTGCATCAGCAGTGAGGCTGCTGGTGCTGCTGGCCTGCTCTTGCTCCCCTAGAAGCCAGGTGCCCACAGCCAGGCCCCTGGGAGGATGAGGGCAGGCTGTGTGAAGAGCTGCCCCTCTGTACCCTGCCTGGGGGTTTTGCTGCTCTCCCCCACAGAAGGGGAGACCCAGGTGGCTGGCTAAGAATAAACCTGAACAATGGAAACTAAACTCAAATAAACTCACAAGTGAGAGTCTTGTGTTACTGAAACACCTCCAGTGCTGCTGCTCTGAGGATGGCTGGATTCATCCATTTCCAGCTTCTTATTCTGCTTCAGCTTATCTGGGTTTCACAACTCTACTCCTCATAAATGCATGTGGAATGGCAAGGAAGGAGGTGCAACAGGTCTGTAATTCCTTCAACTGCCAGGGCACCTTTTACATTCCCAGATTTTCTGTAGGAATTTTGGGGATTGGACTTTGTGAAGTGACATCCTATAACTATGCCCTTTGCAGTTTGGGTGTTATCCATGAGCAGGTGCAGGACCCTTTTCTGACCAAGGAGCTCAAGCAGAGCTGGGCCACAGCAGACCAGAGTGTGAAGTTTGTGAGCTCTTTAATCCCTGATGAGTTAAGCAAGGACTGGACCCCAGTGTGCATCAGAGACTGGGAAAGCTGGTTTAACTGTGCTGCAAGCTGCTGCTACCTCCTAGAGCTAGCTGTGGCCAAGGGGTCAGGACAGCCATGGCATATCTCCTTCTCAGAGCCTGGGGGCAACGGAGCAGCCACTCTTGTACTGAAAATGGAACAAAAGAGACTCGTAAGGCTGATGGGTACCTTTGAGAGCCATTTGGTGCTAAAAGCAATTGGCATACAAGGAGTTCCTTGGCCAGGGGAATCCTCCAGCAGCTGGACAGCTGACTCATGGAGAGTGGGGACTGCTCATGTGAATGGATTTGTTCGGCTTTAAGCGAAAAACACCAATAGTGACCTATTCAATCTGCTACTGTCCAAAGCCATCATTTGGTCATCAATTGCTGCTCTGCATGTTCTTGTTTATTCTTCCTCACTGGATAATTTGCACAGAGAGCTTTTAAGGCAGTTTTTCAAGCACTTGTGACACCAGCACTTGTGCCACTGCATGTGGCTTCTGACACTTCAACAAAGATCACTAAATGTGTTTATACTGTCAAGAAAAGAAAACGAAAGGAGTTACAAGTGCCAGTAAAACCACCCTGTGGTTTTGGTGAGTTTGAATGCCTTCAGATGCTCTTCCTCCTCCTCACACTTACCCTACAGGTTGCACTGTAAGCAGAGGGCAGTTTTCCCATGAGAAATCACTTCTGAGTTGCTTCAAACAGCTCCTGCTGTGTGTTTTCGAGAGACAGGCCTGCACAGCCTGCACTTTTGGTCACAGTAAATATCCTTTCATTCTTCCCAAACTGAACTTGGCCCAGTGCTCCTGCAACTGCATGCAGTCTCCTGGGGCCTGGTTCCATGGCTGCAGAAATCAGTGGAAGTCTTGGGTTTGGGGCCAAAGGCCTTTGCAGTGACACTGGCTCTAGGGGATCCAGAGCTGAAGAGTGGTGTTGGAGGACTAAGATTAGCAGAACCAGACTCCTACAAGTGCCTTGTACTTCTTTGCGCCCCATGGTTCTTTCAGACTGAAATTTCACACATGAATGCTTAATTTAGGCCACTAATCATCCATGGTTCAACACCTAGACAAATATCTGATCTTCAGACAGCGATACTTTCACTTTGGAGCACTTTCCCCAGCAAACAGGGAATAAAATCCAGTCCATTCAGATGTAGGAAAGTGAGGGAAATCATTAATATCCAGCGTTGACTAGACACAACGCAAGCATGCCAGCACTGCTCCCCAGCATTGCCTTCCTGCTGACCTGTGCTCCCTGGCTGCTCTTTCCCTGAGGAGTCTCCTCATTATCGCCGCAGCTCCTGTGCCAAACTCACACGCAGCATTTGACAAATGAGCATCCTGTGCAATCTAACAGGGAACTGCTCAGGGAACCTCATTGTTACCCAGGGCTCTGCTCAGGATGAAAGGCTGGCCCTTCCACCCTCCTGCTGGGCTCAGCCCCTCTTTGTCATAGGAGATGAAATATCTGAGAATTAATTTCCTCTTTGCACGCTGTCCCCAGCACTGTCCCCAGCAGCCTGTGTCAGCCTCAGCAGCTACACAGGACCTGCGTTGAGCCGAGCTGCTCCCACCCCTGCAGCGTTCAGAGGCACCAAACTGCACTGGGCTGTGAGACATTTGAGTGCACTTTGATCTATGAGCTGGCATAGTTGGGTTGATGCTGGTTTTACACTGTGTCCTCAGGTTTGGCCAAGTCTGGGGTATCTTTTTGGGGAGAAAGTTAGAATCTCCAGAACAAACCCCAAGGAACAGCCAGTGTGGCCAAGCAAGGCAAAGTCACTGCCTGAGTCACCTGCCTCGTTGGCAGTGTCACTGCAGCAGCTGGGAAATGCTCCCATCACCCTCCCAGCAGCTCGGAGGGCACGTGGCGAGGGCAGGCCCAGTGTGACTGTGTGCCCACAGTCTCTGCTGTGCAGCTTTGTCCCAGTGCTCACCAACCCAGGGACCCTTAGAGCCAGAGCCTCAGACCTCTGCCGTGTCTCTGTCCCCAGTGAGGCCTCTAGGACTCTGCCATCCCTGGAATCCATCCAGAAGGTGTTTGAGCAGCAGCTGCACCCCGGTGTCCACCAGCGCTCCCAGGTAAGGGGGCTGGTGGGTGGGAGGGGAGGAGGGGGCAGTGTGGCTGGAGCAGGGAGGGGCTGGGGGATCAGGTGCCACTTCTGTTCTCCTCACTGCCTGGCTGCAGTGCAGGGGGCACACAGTGACTTATATCCCACATAGCCCCTTATGCCTGCCCCCCTTTCTGCCCCAGAGGAAAGTGCCACCAGCTGCCTGAGGACTCCACCTCCCCACCCTCCCTCAGCTTGTGGGCTGGGACTGCACACTTCTTTTTCCATAAACTTCACTCCAGGATGTTTCACTGCCAAATCCTTCCTTCTCCCAAACCCACTTAAGTCCCCGTGACCTTCCTCTCCCTGCTAGAAAGCCAAAAGTCCAGGACTTCTGTATGTTGAGCCCCAGAGCTGGTCATGCAAACCTGCCCCCCAGCAGCAAGGTGACCCCCTTGCATGGCCAGCTGCCTCTAACTTATGGAAAAGGCTTTTGGATTTGTCCTTCTATGCTCCCATACTTCTGCATGTTCAGCCACACTCCATGCTCTTGTGCTGCCCATTACAGGTCATTGTGGCAGAGGTACAGGTGGTGCTCCTTGCTCTGTGTGTGGGGTGTTCCTGGGGCTGCACTCCAGGCCATGCTCCAGGGATTTGGAAATCATCCACCTCTCTTTTTCTTTTTGTTATTGTGCTGTGTTTTCAGATGCTTGGTGAAGCAAGTCCAGTCAATATTGTATTGAAACTCAACCAGCTGATTTCTTTGCTGTCTTCTATTGAAGAAAAGGTAGAGTTCTAAAGCTGTTTTATGTTGTCTTTCTGTCATCTTTTGCCTCTAGTTATGTTTCTTGTTCATCATCAGTGCAGTCCTCTGCTACACTAAGATTAGATTACTCTGATCTCATCGCTGTCAATGTAATGCAGAATCAGCAAATGCAATAAATTACACATAAATTCTTTTACAGGTGAAAACACTGTTGATTGAAGGTCCTGATTCAACACACCGGCGCTCCCTTATTCCCCCTGTCACTTTTGAGGTAAATGTACTTCTTTAATGATGCTGATCATAATGTGGAAGGACAGTAACACAGATTTATGTTGGTATCTCAGTTCCTGGGAACTTTGCTGTGCTGCCACAGAGATAACAGCTATTCTTGGATGCTGTTTAGCACCATGCAAAAGCTTAAGAGATGTCTAGTGAGACTGGCATAATGATATGTGTCCAGGAATTCAGGGGAGTGTTGCATTTGTAATAAATGTTACTGAAGCATAGATCGCTCACAAGAAACCTCTCTGTCTTCCAATAGGTGAAAGCTGACTCCCTAGGGATTTTCTCAAAAATACAACTCAAGGTTGATGTGGAAATGGGAAAACTGATTATCAAGAGATCTAAGGATGGTCCAGAAGACAAGTTTTATACCCACAAGAAAAGTAAGATGCTTAAGGTCACAAATGCTGGACTAGACTCTGGGTCTCCAGGATGATGGGGAGGGGTTCCCTTTGGCTCCACTTGGGACAAGGTTTGGCCCAGAGGGCAGGGATTTCTGCTAGGTCCTGGGTGTTGTACAAGGCTCTAGTCAGGCTAGACAGAGACCAGGGAGTCGTGACTGGGATAACCAGCTTTCACAAATTGTTTTAGACCCTGCTTTCTGGTCTAAATGAAGACACCAGGACTACAGGGAAGCAGGTTTTGGTAGAAGATTCCCCACAGAGCTGGTTGCAATAGACCCATTTTTCTACTGAAAAGCAATGTCACTTGAAGAAAGACATTCTGTAGGAACATACTGACTTCTCTGATGATTTTTGATGGTAAAAAGCCAAACACTCAGTTTCAGTAACATTTTTCACTGAATTTCCCTTGATTTTTTTTGTATGTAAATCAGTATGTGCGCTGATGAGCAATGCCAGCTTGGTCTGTGAAGGCCCAGTTCAAACAACTTCCTTTTTTTTTTTTTTTTCTGTTGTGTTTCTGGACAGGCAGCCCACTGAGACTGAGCCAAACAGATTTATCAGAGAGTAAACGATGCCCTTGGGCTCTCTCCTGCTAGAAAATCAACCTGTTGCTGGCAGCGACTGAAAAGATGAGCTTTCATATATGGCTTTTTCCACCTGGTGTTCATAGTTACTTAGCTGCTGTTTTAGATGAGGAGAAATCACCCTTACCTCCAAATGAGGTTTTACATCCTCTTTCGCAGATGGGGAAGGAATATATGTAGGCTGGCTCAGAATACAGGACTGCCTGCAGGAAGCCAAGGCTTCACTTCAGGCTGCAGGGCTTGAGATGGACAAGATCTCCAGGTAGAATGAGCTTTGGAGGTCCTTTCCCTTTGAGTCCAAATCTGTTCCTATAAAGAGCAGGATTAAGCCACATTAAAATGCAAATCTGTGGAGCAAAGTGGGTCCCAGTCACAAGAGACCACGTAAATCCTGAGCCTGCGAGCAAAGCCCTGCTTGTTCTGGGGGGATCTTCCTCTCAATGGCTGCAGCTCATGACACCCAGCCTCTGTTCAGTCTTGCAGCTTATCAAGTCCCAGAAGCTCCCAAACAAACTGGTGATTGTGCTGGAAACAGAAAAAGAAAAAACACAGCGGAAGGAATATGTTTTTTCTGATTCCAAGGTACTTACACGGTGCTCCCTTCCTGCCAGCCTGGAGCAGGTACCTGGGGAGAGTGGCACACGGGGCATTCCTTGGCAGAAAGAGGAACTGCTGAAGGATGGTGCTTGGCTTTGCAAAAAATAAATTTCTCCTTTGTTCTGGAAACGTTCAGAAAATGAACAGGTGTGTGTAAAGGGAGGTACTGGAGAGCCATACTCGGGGCTGTCACTGGGGCAGGAGGACAGTGAGGGGAGGCAAGAACTCTGTGATGGCAGCTGCAAAAAGGCTCATATAGACAAACAAGAGGGAAGAAGAGACTTCTGACCAGCTCAGCACTTGTTAGAGCAATGCACAGGCTAAGTGCCTAGAAAAGCATCACAGGAAACCTCTTGGAAGGTTTCAGGATGGTGGAGGAACAATCTGCCCTTCAAGTGTGCTGGGAATTTCCTGGTTCAGCTAGTTTGTCAGGAGGTTGTGTTGGAGGAGTTAAGCATCTCATTAATTGTCTCTGCTCCTCCCTGTCTAGAAGAGAGAAGGGTTCTGTCAGCTTCTGCAACAGATGAAGAATAAACACTCAGAGCAACCAGAGCCTGATATGATCACCATCTTCATTGGGACCTGGAATATGGGTATGGGCTCTCTTCTGACATGGGTGTTCCTTCAGACACTTGCCAAAGTGTGTGCTCAGCTGCCGGGGTGAGCTCCAGACACTGTGTGTGTTCCGTGGCAGATCTGCACACCAGGGCTGTCTCACTGGCACAGGGGAAGAGCTGAGATCCAGACTTATTCCTGCATGTGGTTTGACACTTCTCGTGGCTCCGGTCAAAGGACCATGAGGTTGTCCCTGATGGGTACTGAAGGATTCTTCCAGTGCCAGGGAACTGTGGCTGGCACAAAGCTGGCGCAGCAGTGTACATCATCCTCCACCTTGCAGACAGGACAGGAGCAGCTCCACCACCTGCCTGTCAGCTGCTCTGACCCTGACTAGGATGGTTCATGTCCAGCCTGGGAAGAGAGCTGAGGGTCTGCAATATTTAGAGAAGGGGACAAGGTGTAGGTGAGGACAGTGGGATTTAAGTTCTTTTTCCCATTTTGGGAGAAAAGTCTGGTTCAGCTGTTGTGAGCTGAGCTGTCTTTGCTTGGTCATGCTTAAGAAGTGAGGTGAAGGCAGTGGCAGGCCAGGAGGAGTACAGCTCCCTGCCTTTACCCTTGGCTAGCCTTGGCTTTGGTAAGCTGATGAAATAGAGCAAAGTGGCCAAAGCAGAGTCACTCCTTCATTGGTGACTCAGGTGGGGATAACATCTTTGTCATCTTAGAAGAGTGTGATACGGAACTGATGTGTGGTGGAGTCAATGTGAAGGCTGTCATTTCTGTCCCCACGTGTTATCTGCATCCTGGGTTTGACAGGACACACTCTGATTTCCTTTGGTGTTGGATTTGTTAATAAAAGGTGCAGCACCTCCCCCAAAGAAGATCACCTCCTGGTTCCTCTCCAAGGGGCAGGGGAAGACCCGTGACGACACTGCTGACTACATTCCTCATGACATCTATGTGATTGGCACCCAGGAGGATCCCCAAGGGGAGAAGGAATGGCTGGAGACACTGAGACAATCTCTGCAGGAAATCACCAGTATCAGCTTCAAAGTGGTGAGGAGTTATTCCAGTTATTGCACGTAACTTGGGCATATGAGGAGAGTACATGTTGTTCAAATAAAAGAAATAGGAATAAGTGGGATTTTGCCTACATCTCCTCCCCTTCCCTCATTGCATTTGGATGAGGGAGAGTGAACTGACTGTGTAGAGATCCTCCCCTGGAGCTGGCCAGATGGGCACATTGCTATGGACAGTGACCCCCCACTGGCAAAGCAGGGACCCTGCCAGGCTGGGAGCAAGGGCAGATGCTGAGAACTTGACTCAGGTGGTGCTGTTATTTTGACCTTAAAAATGGAGGATACTGTAAAACCTCCTGAGCCAGCTGTAGCCAAGATCTTGCCCTAGGCTATTGCACTTTCAAGGTACACAGCCACAGTCATGGAATAAACTGAAACTTAATAAGACCAGGTTTGGACATTCATGAGTTTCAGTGAGGTCAAGAAACAAATCTAAGCATATCTGGAAAGCCACAGGACTTCTAACTCTCATGGTGATTAGGAAACTATCTTGTGCAAGCAAGGTAATCCAAAGTTCAACTGGAAAAAAGCACTAGAAAATAGCGAGGTCCTTCCTCCCACCTTTGATTAAAATGACTGCAAACATATCCTGAGCACAGGAAGAAAATCTGTGTAGGAGAAGGACTACAGAAGGAGTTGGAAGGCTGCAGCTATACTGCACCTCTGCAGGGATGTGCAGAAGTGTAATCTCTAACCTTCCCATCCCTGCAGATAGCTATCCATACCCTCTGGAACATCAGGATAGTGGTACTGGCCAAGCCAGAACACGAGAACCGCATCAGCCACATCTGCACAGACAACGTGAAGACAGGCATCGCAAACACCCTGGGTGAGGAGCAGCCCTGGTCCCATCCAGGGCTCTGGGATCTGTCCGTGCCAAATGTTCCTTGACATGGAACAGCTCTTCCTCCACAAGACTCCTGGGACAAAATTTATGTGGCACCAGTGGTCCTAAAGTTGTATCCCAATAGCACTGATTACCTCTTACTCTGTAAGAGAGGAAATCTATTTGTGTGTGTACATAGCACACACATATATATTTATATTCCCAGCAAACACTTTTGACTGGCTATTGGGTTGCTCTTTCTTGGGTTTCATTGGGAAAATGCACTTCTTTTCTTTCAACTAAGTTTTTTTAGCATCCTTAATAAATTTGTTACCACTGCATGTACTAATTCTTTCTCTGCACGTACTAATTCTTTCTGTGCTGATTAAGTCAAGTTATTTCTCTTCTCCATCCTCCACTTCACTTAAGATATGTTTGGTGCATTATTATCTTTGCTAGACTCAGCCTGGAGATGGATTGATTTCTTGACTTTTTGGCTTATCTTTTTCCAGGTAATAAAGGAGCGGTGGGGGTGTCATTCATGTTTAATGGAACCTCCTTTGGGTTTGTTAACAGCCATTTGACTTCTGGAAGTGAAAAGAAACACAGGTAAGATACGTCCTCCCCTTTAAAAAATGGCTGTTGACCCAAGGTGAAATTCTCTGGGCCATGTTTGGAAGGGGGGCTCACAAGACAGACACAAACATGTCTTCCTGACCATAAAAGAATTGTTAATGTCTCCTGGGAAGGCATTTGAACAAGGGACTTCTGCTATGTGGCCATGGGTGCAGGGAAAACAGCCAGCAAAATGATTTCAGAGCTGAGTGTAAATGTCTCACACAACACTTGCATGACCTGCTATGCAAGCCCAGTGAACAAGGAAAACAGTTCCCAGATCTACGATGTCTTGGAGAGATGTGGGAAGGTTTCTCCCATCCCAGAATAATGTACTGAAGGGGACTGTCTGCCTCCTCACTGTAGGCAGTGCTGTGAGCACAGGAGCTGTGCTGTGCCCTGGGGAACAGCTGAGAAAGGTCCTGCCAGGCAGAGCTGTCAGGAATGCCGAGAGGGAGGCGTGTGTGGCACAGGAATATCTCCATGGTGGCTGATTCTCTATACCCAGCTGTGAAAGGAGTGTTTCTGGTCTAGATGGGTTCTGCACAGGACTGGAAGTTCCTGACACCAGTGGGAGATCTGTGCCCACACTGGGAGGAGCCAGGGCTGTTGGAAGGACTGGTTTTGAAAACAAAGAGGATTTGAAATGAAGATATTGGCTTTGCCATCTTGCCCAGTGCAGAACACAGATGGTGTGGGATTTCTGCACAGGGTCTTTGCCACTGATGGAGTTAACTCTTATGGAAGAGTTCTCCAGGGTCTGGAATAACTGCCAAAATCTAGTTATTCATTTGCAGGTGAAATCTGAAGGCAACCATCTAATGCTGGGTTTCTAGGACATGTAGCTTGGAAAGGGAGAGCCCTGGGAGGCAGAAAAAGTGGCTTTAGGAGCACATTCCCTGGTCTGAGGAGCAGCACGTGGCTGGGGTGGCAAGTTCTGTTTCTGACGTGCTCCTCTCGAGCTGTCGAGTTGAATCGGTTCCTGCCTGGGAAAGCAGCAGCCCCTGCCAACCCAGGCTCTTGGGAATTGCATGGCAATTTAGTGTGTCAGGCAGATGTTTCTTGTCTTGACAGACGCAACCAGAACTACACGAACATCCTGCGCTTCCTGACGCTGGGAGACAAGAAACTGAGTCCGTTCAACATCACTCATCGCTTCACTCACCTGTTCTGGCTGGGGGACCTGAACTACCGCGTGGAGCAGCCCCCGGCGGTGAGGGGGGGCCGTGACCCCTGCAGGGGCAGCTCCCTGCGCTGCCAGAGCAGCTCTGTCTTTGTCCAGCCTAGGGCAACGTGGCAAAAAGAGAGGAGACAGAAGGGATCCCCAGGGCATGAGTGTGGTGCCAGTTGAGGGAAAGTAATCCTTGCCCTCTCCAAGGATTAATGGACCCAGGAATGCCATCTGGCACACTTTGCTGCTTCAGGCAGCCTCGCTTCCCCAGACCTCCCAACTTCCCTTCCCACTGTGAACAAGCATCTGCCTTTCTGCTCTGTTTGATGAGCTTGGAATGGCTCAGAACAGGCCTTCAGGAACAGGCCTTCAGGAACAGGCAAGGCATCATAAATACTGGATCCGTTTCAGTAGGTGGGAGACAACAGCAAGCCTGGTGTTGATGTGCATGTGGTTGTGTGTGTATTTATGCAGGGGATGTGTGGGCATTTTGATGCCTGTTTTGATAGACAAATGTTCATCCATGCAGCAAAGAGTGAGGCCTCTCTGTGAAGGGAAAGGTGGGGAAGTGGCAGGGGTACAGCTCTGTGAAACAATTCAAGAGCATTTGCCAGTTCACCAGAGAAGGGAGTATTTATAAGAAGGTTTTGCATCATCTGCAGCTCTGCTGTTTCCCTGTTGGCAGGAAGCAGAGAATATTATCCAGAAGATCAGGCAGCAGCAGTATCCGGAGCTGCTGGCTTTCGACCAGCTTCTCCTTGAGAGGAAAGACCAAAAGGTGTTCCTGCAGTTTGGTGAGGTTTTGGCTTTGCTGGCAGGTTCTCTCCCACTCCCACCAACTCTCTCTGCCAGCCCTGCTGTGGGGCGGGTGCACAGGGGCAGTGGCTGTCCTGCCCAGAGGAGGGTTGCCCACGGGCCAGGCTGTGACAGAGCTCTCCCTGTTCCAGAGGAAGAAGAAATCACATTTGCTCCCACCTACCGCTTTGAGAGAGGCAGCCGGGAGAAGTACGCGTACACCAAGCAAAAGGCTACGGGGGTAGGTGAAACCTGAGTTCCCTTCTGAGGTACATGGCAGAGCAGGGAAAGTACCTCCTACAGAAGAAAAATTTCCTAAACCAATCTCTGCATTTCCTGCCCTTGTAACGTTTCGAAAGGAGTCAATACAAACAAACAGACTTGACACAAATATGTGGTGCTTGGGGGAGCGAATTTCCTGTCCCTTTGTGAACTAGTCCTTTCCCTTCTTCTTGACATCATTTCGGTTTTTTTGCAGATGAAGTACAATTTGCCATCCTGGTGTGATCGAGTGCTCTGGAAATCCTACCCCCTGGTGCACGTTGTGTGTCAGTCCTATGGTGGGTAGATAACAGATTGCAGATAGCAAGGCAATCAGTCTGAAACGGAAATGATTCAGAGCAGAGTCTGCAGGATCTCCCTGCACTGCCAGGCACTCAGCATAGAGGGACCTGATGTTAAACCAGGCAGTGGAGAGCCAAATCTCTCTGCCTGTAACCTTCCAGTGTTGAGAATTAATTCCGTTATTCTTTTACGTGCAGAACACCACTCGAACAGCTGCAGCTGTCCAGCTCTAGGCCATGCTGTAGGATCACTTTACACCAAATATTTCCTGGCAACAACCACCACTTTTCCTGTGCAGTTACCACCAGGAACTCCTCACTTGGTGGTGCCAGCAGGGCAGACCCTGTGTGCACAGTCCAGTCTGCAGAGGCTGGAGCTGCAAACCTCTTTCCTCTATCAAATCATATGCCAGAAGGACTGTGTGGTACCAAGAGCCTGTTCCCTTTCCTGCTGAGAAGCATCACAGAAGTGCAGTGCAGGGAAGAGAGAAAGCCCACAAGACCTGTTTAAAAAAAGACTCAGATACCAGTTGCTGAAATGTCAGTGGCTATATGTAGGACTGAGCATCTGAGTATGATGTTGATGGTTTCCTATTCATGGGATTGAGAAGAGGGCTCTCTCAGGGGATCAGGTGGACTGATCTGATCACCAAGCCATGATGCTGGGGTGTGTGGTCAAATATGCACCTGTAGAAAGACTGGGCTTGCTGGATCTCAGTGTGTGCTTAGGGCAAATCAGGCCCTGCTCACTCACTGTTGACTTAGGCCAGGAGTTGCTCTGTAGCACTGAAGTAGCACCAGCGTATTCCTGTGTAATTTCCTGCCACATTAGAGCTTTAATTAGCTGTGCCTGTTGCAGAGGCAACCGGGAAGCCTGCAAAGGATTTTTGTGCTGGGGAAACCCACCACTGACAGTCGCTTGCAAAATGATATGGTAAAATTGGGTCCATTAATCAAATCTTTCTGTGTTCTGACAGAAGAGTTACCTTCCTGCATACTGACATGGGATAATGTAAAGAAATACCTTTGACTAGAGACAGTTACCACAGTGACTGTGAGGTTTTCTGGAAGATTCCCACCCAGTATTTCTGTGGCAGAGATCTCCCAGGAGCAGGGCAGTAACTATCCTCCCTTTCTCGCTGGCAGGCTGCACCACTGACATCATGACCAGTGACCACAGTCCTGTCTTTGCCACCTTTGAAGTGGGAGTTACCTCACAGTTTGTCTCCAAGAACGGTCAGTCAGGTTGGGTGCCAGTGTGCCATCTTCACCTTGGGATACAAAATGTAGTGCTTTGTATATGCAGAAAGAAAAAGATGAGTCTTAAAGAGTCCACTTTAAAATGCCCTCTCTTTATGTCCTTCCTCTTTCCTAGACTCCAAGTACACAGATTCCCAAGGGGAGATAGAGTTCCTGCACTGCTGCGCCACTCTGAAGACCAAGTCCCAGACCAAGTTCTACATTGAGTTTCATTCTAGCTGCTTAGAAAGTATGGCTTTGCCCATCCTTATTACTTCTGTCAAAGTTTTCTGCTTGTTTGGATTAGTTCCCCTTCTTGTTGCTTTGATCTAAAAAAATAGCTGTGTGGATCACTTGTTCCAATGCAAAAAAGGGATGTCCTAAAGATTTGTTGTAGTTTACAAGTCAGCCCATACTGTCAGCCATACAATCCAAACCCCACAGCCAAGGGAGCTGTAATCCAACTGCCTTTCACCAATTCTTCCATCTTCTTTGGCAATCTGATTGTTTCCTTCTTGAAGAGAGACACGTGCTGTTCTTGCTCATCACATAGAAAATCTCTGCTTAGAAAACGTGATTGATTAAATGTCTGATTGTGCCTGCTGCAAAATCAGGTGCTTCCAAAATAATGCACCTGCATTATGCTAATAAAGGTAATTTTAAGTAATTGAATTACCCTGGTTTAACAAAGAATAAGTCAGAGCATCAGCTAAAAGTGAAAGGAAAGCAAGTGATTTGACTGTGTAAGTGGGACTGTGTCCTCCCAGTGCTGCAGGTTTCCCTCCCTGGCCCTGTGCTGCAGGGCTGAGTCTCAGCTGTTTATGTAACACGAGCCTCCCTGCCCTTGCTGGGGTTTTTTAAACCCCCATCCCAGGGCTGCTTCTGTAAGTGGGACAGTGTGCTGTGGTGTTTGCTTCATCACATTATCGCGTGTCAGAGCGCGGTGGAAGAGACAGTTCCATAAAAGATTATTTTTTGGCTGTATCAAAATTTGCATAAATTTCTATGGAAACAGTGTATTACGAATCTTAAATTAGAATTTCAAAAGTGTGCTATCTTGAGTGGCGTAGGAAGACCTGTCATGTTCTTATCCTCCAGTCCATGTATGCACTGAGCTGTTCAGTGCCAAGTTTAACTGTAAAATTAAACCATTTAACAATGCTCCAGTAAAATCACTTGTAAATTTACTGTGTAAACATTCACCCGAAGCTAAGGCTCTAAGCTTCTTAATAATTTTAAAATCTGTGTCCAAGTGGGAAAATAACTGTAGGCCTTTTGGAGCGTGGCACGTGAAAAGGATTTGTAGCCCCATTCTTGCTGTCTCTCTTCTGGTAAACTCCTTTCTTGTCCCTTTGCAGGTTTTGTAAAGAGCCAGGAAGGAGAAAATGAGGATGGGAATGAAGGGGAGCTCGTGGTAAAGTTTGTCGATGCACTTCCAAAGGTAGGCTGGGACTCTGCTTCCATATCCATATGGAAGAGAAGCCTTCCACCTTCATCCCATAAGCAACATATATATAAACATTTTGTGCAGGAACGTGGTTGTGGTCTTGTTTAGACTCAAAGAGACTGTAAGAATGCAGAATGGGCTTAAGCTAAACAGAGCATGTTATAAGCAGGAAAGGACTTACATCTGTATCAGGAATTTTGCTGGCATGATTATGCCATTCAGGAACATGACTTTTTTCTCACCTGTTTATTGAATGTAACTATGCTGACAAGTGTTTTAAGTAGGCCCCTTTTTTTTTTAGTTTTAGATGGAAAATAAAACATCTTAAAGGATAGCTCTGGAGTTTTTTGCCTGGTCAGACAAAGTTTTCTCTTGGTATTTTTTAGAAGAGTTGATTACATATTTTTTACCTATGTTAAAAAGAGCATTGATGGCCAGAAGCAGTGTTCTGTGTGTCAGTGTCAGACACAAGTCCTGTCCTTGAGATCAGAGCTAGTCTCCATTTCTTGGCATGGTGGGAGCTGGAAGAACTACAGGAGCTCCTGGATTTGGAGCAAATGTTCCTGTCAGTACCCTTCTAAATAGCCCCAAAAGAAAATGTGCTGATTTTGGAAAGAGTGCATTACACTGAGAGCTTAGGGAAAGGCTCTTTGATAAGTGATTGTAACAACAGCCAAACAGATTTTTGGGAACAGACTGTAATCAGAGTCCAGATCCCTTCTTCCCTGAGCAATTTTCAGGCCTGCACTGCATGAGAAAACTGCAGTTCATCCCATGAGTGTTAGATTTGCAGCGTCCCATCGGCTGTGCTGGGAGCAAGAGTGTGCAGCCTTCTCCCACAGATGTCCAAACACCAGCAAAGAGGCTGATCCTGGAGGTGACATGATATCCTCAAGGGTTTATCCAGCAGCTTTGTCCTCATTTGGGACTGAGGCACGGGGAGAACTGTGCTCCTGTAGCCCATCCATTGTATTGACCCACCTTAACTTGTCTTTGCAGCTGACCCCAATTATTTCAGACCCGGAATACCTACTGGATCAACACATCCTGATCAGCATTAAGTCATCAGACAGTGATGAATCTTATGGTAAGTGCTTAGCTCTGAAGTTCTGGATGAGTCAAAATCTACTTAGATTCTTCCAAACCACTGAAAGAGTGGGAGAGAACAGAAGTAACTCTTACAGAACATCTATGATACTCTGACTTCTGACTTAGAACTCAATGTACACAAAAATACACTGTGGACAATAGTTTGTGAGGTAATTATGATTAGAGAAATATGAAGCAACAACCTGTGAGAGCTTTACCAGCTCTAAAAGAGCAGTGGCTTAAAAAGAAAGTACAGGAATTAAATCAGGAGTCAGTCTGGTTAAATGGGTTTATTCAGAATATTCAAATCCTGTTTCACTTGCACTTACTTGAGGCATTTCTCCTGGCTACAGAAAAGGATTTGGCAGTGCTGCTGGCTTCCAAATTCTCAGCAGCCAGAGACTGCAGTCCTTGTCCACAGAAGGCTCTTTGCTGAAATCCCATTAACTGAAATAGCAGCCACAGGCTCGTGTTTTCCTTACCAGGAATGGAAGCTCAGAACACTGCAGTCACCCACAGGTATCTCCAGTGCCCAAATCTTTCACACATATTTGAAGTTAAATGAATGCCCCTGATTTCTCAAGAGATAATACACTCCTTGCTGTGATCCAAAGCAGGTTCTCTCCAGTAATTGCAGCATAGTGATAGTAGATGACACAAGAGATTTCAGTGCTTTTTTTCCTCAATCTCAGGCTCATTGTCTCCTTGTTGTCATCTAGGGGAAGGCTGCATTGCCCTGAGAATAGAAGCAACAGAATCCTTAGCTCCTATCCACACTGTGCTGACACACCATGGAGAGAAAACAGGAGTCTTCCAAGGTGAAATCAAGTTGCAAACATCACAAGGGAAACAGAGAGAGAAGCTGTATGGTAAGGAATGTCATCATCTCTGCAATGCTCACCCTAGAGAGTACTCACCTCGAAAGATTTCTGATAACTGTCAAGGAGGTGAAAATTACCCCTGCAGTGCTTATAGTCCCAAAGAGGCAAGTCCCTTTGATGCTGACTGAAAAGAGCTGTGAGTATTGTTAGTTCTCAGGAGGATACCTGTACTCTTTCAGAGAGACAGAGCAATTCGATTTGGGTATCTTTTTTCATCATTCAAGTAAATTTGGCAGACTGAGAGAGCCCCCTGTCTGTCACTAATACTGGTTTCATTGAACTGGGATATCTAACTTCCACTTGTAGTGGCTATATGAGAAGGTGATGAGTGAGGCTCTGAAGGAGCAGTTCCTTAGCTAAAGGATCACAAACCTTTGTATTTCAAGATACACATTTCTTCCTATATCAACAAGAATTACATGTATTTGTGGGCAGCTGAAAACATAACAGCAACAACAGTTTAAAACTGTGCATCATTCTGATGGACAAAGAGAGATGCCTTAATGCAAGTAGTAACACACAAAACTTGGGCAGACTCTGAAGCTGCCAAAACACTCTTATGCCTTTCCTTTCCTTCAGATTTTGTCAAGATTGAACGTGATGAAATTGCTGGGCAGAAAACAAGGAACATCAGCAATTTAGAGCCTAACAAAGAGTGGGATCAGACTAACAGGTAAAGGGCAAGAGGGTAAGTCAGTACCAGAAAAATGGTTGGCTCAATAAAGGCCAAGCTGGGCTTGCCGTGGGAGCAGCATTAACGGGTGTGGTGAGCACTGGGAAGCTGCTCTGTGGCTCTCTGCTCAGGGCTGGTCAATGCTTCTGTGCCCAAAGCTTCAAAAGCTGAGAATGCATTAGCCAGACCAGGTCCCTGAACCCCACTTAGAAAGGGCTCTTTTATTTCCAACAGAAAGTCAAAATCTACTCATCTGATGGCCAGAGAGGCAGCAGCCGTGGCTCGCTACTGGGGGAGTGCGTCTCCTTCTGCAGACAGCGCAGGAAAGGAGGATATCCTACGGTAACCTTGCTGCTTTACCTCTGCCGGCCTGGGGTGGCAACCTGTGCTCAAACTGCCTGTCTTTTCCTTTCCAAGAGTCATAGGATGAGTCGGGGCAAGGCTGTCCTTTCACTCCGTTTTCACAGGGGCTCTTCTTTGCAGGCAGTTCCTGCTGGGCTCAGAAACCTGTGAAAGCCCCTGGATGTGGCTGCAGAAGCTGAATGCTCTCTGCAGCCTGGAAAAGGAAGTGTCTGCCACAGCCAGAGGAACTATTTTGGGGTTGGGGGAGGTGGCCTTGACCCAGCTGCTTCCTCTCTGGTGACCCAGGGGAGGGAGGCACTAACAGGACTCCCACTTATTCTCTGATTCTGAAGCAAGTGACAAAAAAAAGAAAAGTAGGTGGTATTGAATCTAAGCAGTCAGTGGGCACTAACTCCTTTGTAGCTGGCAGAGAGACAAAAACCCAAGTGTATCTGTGCATGTACCTCCCTAACAATATTTCTTGTCTTTAGCAACTCCACCCCCACAGACATCAGCAACCCCAACTACCTGGGGATGGCTCCCTTCTCTCAGCAGCCCTCTGCAACCTGCCAGCATAAGCAGACACCTTCAGCAGACCAGCCACCTTCTCTCTGGAACTATGAGCAGCAGCCCAAAGAGACCACCTCCCTGATGGGACAGAGTCCCTCATCCTCCACATCGCCCTCCTTGTCACCTCTATCCCCAAAGCCATCCCTCCAGCCCACAGCAAACAGAAGCATTTGTAGTCGGAGTCAAGAGTACCTGTGAGTCTTTGAGTTTTGCACTGGGGCTGGGCCCCTCTCTCCTGTTCTACACTGTCACTGTTTCATTATCTGTATGAAGAGTTCAACCTTCAGCATATTCTTTCCATATTTTATCTCTAGAATTAGAAAAAGATAAGTAAAGGTCACAAGTGCAGACATCTCATACTCAAAGAAAACGAGTGTAGTAGTTCCTCAGACCTTTATGAAAGGAAAGCCAAAAATATATAAGTTAAACTTACAACTAAACAATAGAATCTTAGAATCATAGAATGGTTTGGGTTGAAAGGGACCTGAGAGGCTGTCTTGTCCCACCCCTTGCCACGGCCAGGGACACCTGCCACTAGCCCAGGTTGCTCCAAGCCCTGTCCAGCCTGGCCTTGAACACTTCCAGGGCTGGGGCAGCCACAGCTGCTCTGGGCAACCTGTGCCAAGGCCTCATCACCCTCTGAGTAAAGAGCTTCTTCCCCAAATCTAATCTAAATCTCTCCTCTTTTAGTTTAAAACTGCTCCCCCCTGTCCTGTTACTATCTGCCTGTGTAAAGAGTTGCTCTCCCTCCTTACTGTAAGTCCCCTTTGGGCATTGGAAGGCCACAATAAGGTCTCCCCAGAGTCTTCTTTTCTTCAGATTGAACAACCTCAGCTCTCTCAGCCCGACAGAGGTTTAATTCTCTGCCAAGAGAAAAGGAGAAGATTACAGAGTTGACTGTAATAACAAAAGAGAAAAGGGGAGAGTGTGGCATAGATCTTTCCCCTGGATAGGAAGGAGAGCTCCTTCAAGTGTCATATGTGAAGTACTTTCACTGAATTTCCACTTGCACTACTATACAAACATCCAGCTTGCTAAGAAGCCAGAATCCATGTGCTGCATCTATCACAAGCCTTGATGCAGAATTTCCACCTGGCAACTGAAAATATCCCATCCCTACCCAACTTAGTAAAGTAATGAGGCAGCTTCACCCCAGTGCCTGTGTGCAATCTGTGTCCTCGTTCCAGACCTCCTTTTGACAGCGACAGCTGCTCTCAGAGCCTGGGCTGGAGCTCACTGTAAATGGATGTGGCACCCTGCAGTTCAAACCCTGCAGTGCTCCATCCATGCTCTCAGCTCTGCTCCTGCCTGTACTGACTAGTGAACACAGCTGGAAGCCAGGAACACAACTCACCTGAAGGCACCCAAAGAACACGTGCCACTCACCCCTATTCCCCTCTGCTCAGTGATACTGTGGCTGATTTTTTAAGCCCTGTGGTGGCTCTCCAGATTAAAGCCTTGCCACACCAGGGCATCACAGAAACCCCCAGATCTGCTGCGTCCCACTGGCGGCTGTGCTCTCATTCCAGGCTGAGCTGCTGCTCAAGGGGCTCCACTGTGAACACACAGGAGGTGTCTCACCCTAGAGGATAGAGCTCTTACTCCTCTAGTGTGCATTTGGGTGCAGTAAGGAGATTTATCCCTTCCTTAAGAATACCATGCTGCGTTGGTAGCAAGAGGAGATTGACCTAGTTGTAAAATGTTACAGGATGATATGAGCTCTTACGTTAAGCCTCCAGACAGCCATCCTGTCCGACAGATCTGAAGATTCTTTTTAGTATTCAAATTCAGATTTGTGTGTGTCACAAAGCCATCAAAGCACTTGGCACAGTCTGGCTCAGTGGCTTATCTCTGTTTAAAGAGAAGCCAAGTATCACTTTGACAGGACTGTAGTCTAGCAGGGAGTTTATACAGGGCCATGCATATCTGCTCTCTGCTGTCATGTTCCTAATGATTAAAAACAATGCATAATTCTGTTCTCTCTCCCTGAGTTTAATTGTTTTCCTGTTACCCCTTTACACAGTCAGTTTAATTTTATCGGGCTCATTTGCTATTCATTTTGTCTCTAACTCAGTCAGTATCTCTTGCCTGCTCTTTACAAGTCTCCCTTACATGCTGTTTTGATGACTGCAGGCCACCTGAACTGGGGAAATCCACAGCAGAGCCTGTGCTTCTGGAGGAGGGACAGCAAAGGCCGGAGATGTTTGAGAACCCTCTGTATGGCTCGATGGGCTCCAAGGGCAAGGTGCCTCCCAAGAAGGAGCAGGAATACCCCAAGGCCTTGCGGAAAGAGCAGCTGCCACTGCCTGAGCAGAGCTGTCATCTCACAAAGCCACAGGAGCCTGAGGGCAGCAAGACCCCTGGCAAACAGCCATCCCCACCTTTCCTGGTCCCCACACAGCGATTCCGGTCCTACACCTGCTCCGGCCAGGCGGAAGAAAAGAATACAGGTGAGAAGAGCCAAGGCAAACTGAAGGTGACAACGCCACTGGAAAACTCGGCACAGCTCAAGAAACTAGTGAAGCCATTGAGGGCTGAAGTCAGCCTGAGCACCCAGGGACAGCAGAACAAGCCGCCCCTTCCCTCGAAGAGTCGGGCGGTGCTGGACATGCAGAACTCCAAGGGCCGAGATTATCGGGACAGCTCAGAGCTGCCGCACTCCGGGAAGCACCGGACAGAGGAGGCACCCATGGGCAGGACAACTACACCGGTGTGTTCCTCATGGGAATAAGGCAGGGTGGAAGGTGCATTAGGCTGTGGGGTCACTGCAGAACATGACTAGAGTAGTACTGGCTTAGTCCCTGAGTCCTCGCTCCATGTTTCCTGTCCCAGCTCAGAGCACTGTCCCACAAACCCAAGGGGTTGCCAGGGAGCATCGTAAAGCTATTGCTGCAGAAGAGGGCATGTTGTGAAACTGTGACCTTAGCTTTGCATGAATTTTTAACTGTTTTTGAACTGTTTAAGCTTGGTGGCCACAAGAGGAACGCAAGTAGTCCCGTACTGTGTTATGGCTTGTTTGGGGCACCCTGCGTCGTTCCTGAGAATGCCCAGACCTGGCCTGACAGTGCAAACCCACAGTAGTGGCAATAGATTTGCCTTGCTGTAACTACTAAAAAGATGATTAAAAGTAGTTAGTGATAAATACTTAGCAACTTAGAACAGCAGTGTCCAAAAACATTCCTGGAACCTCTACAGAAATAATCACACATATACTTTTCTGGGCTGGTGGGGTTTTTTGTTGTGATTTGGTCTGGTGTCATGTTGGTTTTGTTGGTTTTTTTCACCAGAACACCATGACCTAGATGAGAAGGAGCAGGGGAGGCTTTAGTAAGTGTGTTTGGGAGCAAAAGCCCACTTGAGCAAGCTGTAGGATGTTTTTTGACTTCTCCATCAAAACTTGTAGAATTGACAGTAGACAAGCTGATGTCTTCTCTTGTCTCTACAGTGAACATGACACAGCAGCCGGCATCCCAGGAAGAATCCTGATGGGAAGAACGATGGAGATTGCTGCTTTGTTCACTCATCTCCTCTGGTCTGGTTCTAAAAAGACTGAGGATTTTTATTTTTGAGGGTGGACCCCTCCCTGTGATTATGAAAATGTTCTAGCTGAGAAGTTTATCCTATGTTGCTCAGATCAAGAGGAGCCAGGAGCACAATACCAAGTGCAAGTTACCCTTTTGAGTGTCACTTTGGTACTTCCATTAAGAAGCAGTGGCCAAGTACATGCATTAGTAAGTGTTTTGAAAAAGAGGAAGGTACGGTGTGTAAGGACTAGGAGATGGGAGGGGTGGATTTAGAGAACCCCTTTATACAAAAGCAAGATTTCTATTTTGTTACAGGATTCCTATTAAAGAGTGATATGTAAAAGAAAGTATCTTGAAAGCGGTACAGCTCCAAAAGCATGTCCTGTCCATGGAGCGAGGAATTAGGGGAGGGAAAAGAGTCTGAATAGCAGCTACTGATGAGGGTCACACACTGTCAGCAGAGCCAGCTTTGCTCTCGTCTGCCGCGCTCAGGTAACGCAGCGGGTGAGGCACCGCGGCTCCTCCTCCTTCCAGCGGGTCGTGCTTTAATACCCCAACGAACAGAGGGAAACCAGAACTGCGGGAGGGGAGGAGAAGCAGGGCCCAGGGGCAGCCTCGGAGTGCAGCTCCGGAGTCTCCCCGGCCTGTCTGACAGCAAGCACTCTGCTTTGGAAGGACACTGGCCAGCTGATTGTGTAGCATTCCTAACAGATTAATGCTGACCTTACTGTACACGTGTGCTCAGTGACTGAATGATGTTAACACACTCGTCAGTTCTGTTGTGTTCATGTAAAGTGTTAATTCTGTGGTTACAACTGGGTTATGCCTGTTGTGACTTAATCATGGCTATTGTTTCCATGTTGATTACTTAAAAAATAATAAAATAGTTTTCTGACCATTCTTTACTGAAAATTTAAAACTGCCTGCCACATGGTGCAGCTTTAGTTGAGTGTTACACCAGCTCATTTAGTGACAGTAGTCCCTGCCCAGAAGAAACAAGGAGGAGAGCAGGAAAGATACACCAAAGACAACTGAGGACACAATTGTCTGTGTGCACACACCCTCTGTGGATACAGCTGGCTTGAAAATTATAGCCCCTGTTAGCAGGTGCAGTTACTAATTGTATGAGTGTAGAACATGTACAGTAATTCTACTGGAGCAGAAGAGGCCATGTGAGAATGTGTGGAAGAGGACAAACTGTAAGGCAAAAGTCTTTTAAAAGGAGATGTTTTTCTGCCATGCAGGTTGGAGTTTCAAGGCATCATTACTGAAGCACCTGGCTCTCTAACCTACAAATCAGCAAGGCAGACCACGAGCTTACATTCCCCTGGCTTTATTCAGCAGAGCCCTCTCTGTGTAATCCCCAGAGTTCAGTGGCTGTGGTATTTTCCTGGCCCTGGGGAGCATTTCACTTTTCCAGGTTGCAGAAGAACTTGTATGGCCACAGAGTAAAAGCTCCCTGGAGCAGGTGAGCTTTCTGTCTGATGTGGAGAGTTAGATCAGTGCCTGATAATTCTGGGAGGTGTTGTCGTGTGTGTGGAGATGGAGATGTGACAGGCTCTCTACAAAAAAATTTTAACTTCTCAATAAGAAAGGCTCAGATTTTCTGTGTTTATCCACTGACTTGCTAAGCTGTAGAAAAGAAAGTATATTCCCCAAAGTTTACAAACTAAAACTTGATATAAAGCAAGTATAGCTTTTTGTGTAAACATTCTTCTGACTGGGAATGCTGGTTAAATTGGGCACAGATTTGCAGATGAGCAGAGTTTGAGAGCACTGGACTTACTAAAAACCAAAAAAACCCATCCAGGTACTTTATTTGACCTCTCCTTTAGAAAAATGTGCTGCTGGGGGAGAAGAGAAGCTCTCTGCCAAGTTTCCAGCAGAAAAAAATACATCATTATTCTCCTGATAAAAATGCATTACTTACCCATCTGGGGTTCCAAAGACAGTCTGAGTTATGATGGAATTATGACAAATGCCACCAAGATTTTTGCAAGTGGATCATGTTCAAAGGAAGGCTCTGTAAAGAGCTTTCTGAAGCCTCTGCAGATGAGAGACTTCTCAGGTGAACAGCTTAGACATGGAGTGGAGCAGAGGTGGGACAAGTAGTGGGACACTGCACAGTACTTGTCTTTATGGCAAGACTGGCTGTCCTTGAGATGGTAGAGTTGGTAACACCAACTGTGGGAGCTTGCCAGATGTGAATATTATGAAACTGGATTTAACAAATTAGTCTGTGCTTATGTTTGTTTTGGTTTGGTTTTGATTTCTGTCACAAAGCTTTTAAGATGATATCTATTGGTTTTACTGGCCCGGGCCTCAAACCACATGAAACCAGGACTGAGCACAAGCTTCTGCTTTCTCTTCCATCCTGGACCTGTGACTCTTGCCAAAGCAGGCACATTTCTCTGCCTTCTCTGCTGTTGTCCAGTTCAGTAGAAGACATGAACTGAAGGGTATGAATTGTCCAAAAATGTACTGATTTCCCCCAGATGCAGTGTCTATCTGTAACCTTCCGGCATCCTTTATTTTATGTTCCTAAAATAGCCGGAGTCTTTTTGTACTTATTTCCATGGAGACCCAGCTGTCAAAAATGCTTTAAGTTCCCAGCTACAGGATAGGATGTTGTAGAACACAGTAACTTCAAGAAACCCTGTTTCCTGCCTGCACCTGAAGCATCTAACAGCAGCTTACTGGTCCTCTCAGCAGTAAAACCATCACAGGACACTGTTAAAGCTCTTCCTAAAATGCAGTTGTGGGCTACACATTTCCTTCCTGGTAAAGGTAGGCTCTTACAGAAAATGGCTGAAGGAGGAAAAATAGAAGGCAAACCAAATGAAGGTGAGTTACTCGCTCCAAAACAGCGAGGGGATAATTTTGACGTTAGGAATTACATTGCTTAGGCCCGTAACCTACTGGGGCCAAGCACCCTTTTTCTGTACAGCTTAAAACTAACCATCGAGTCACTGTCCTTCCATTTGTTTCTAAAATGAAAGGTTTGCTAAAATTTTAGCACGTTTTTCTGTTGTCCTTGTGATAGTACAATAATAGTCCATATGACTGAAGGATTGTCCAAAAATGAATTGATTTACCCCCAGACAAAGCTCCTGATTTTTATAACATTGTGAAGACTCAGATATTTGTGTGTTAGCCAGGACTAACTGACCAAGGTGAGGCAAGACAGTTCCCAGGGATGTCCCAACCCATGGCCCCAGGTGGCAGCAGATTGGTTGGAAATGGACAATATCCAGATACTTAGTTTTTATTTCCCTAATCTCTGCCTGAGGGAAAGCCACACTTTTCCCCCGTGGGACATTTTCCAACAAGACTCCATCCCTGCCCTCATATCTGCCACCAAAGAGGTGCTGCAGTCACCAGGGCAGTCCTGCAAGGCCCATGGAAGGACTTGTTATGCAAGAGCTACAGAACAATCCAAATACTCATTTCATCTGCCAAATCTCCCTTGTGCTGAAAAGGTGTTAGCTGGAGAGATACAAGGTGTTCTTTCTCTCTCTCTATATATAAGCAAACATCAAGTTATTATTCACATGAATATGAATATGAAAAAGATCCACAGTGTGTGCATGGTGTTGTTTCAAATGAAGCTCCTAATAGGAATTATTTTAGGGTTGCATTTGTGTTAAACTTCTGAAGTCTCTCAGAAATTCTTTCACAGTTGAATGCCAGGCTGACAGAAGAGAGAGATTTCTTTATGCCTACCATAATTTGCTATGTTTTTTCTGCTTTATCTTATTATGCACCATCATAAAGCATTATCTCATTATGCATCACCAAATTTACCTGAACTTCTGTTCTCAGCTCATTACCATTATTCTTTTTCATTAATTTTATTTGCAGGTAATCCTTCCTCTAGCTCCCAAGTCAGCTAAACTAAAGGGTACTTCAATGTACCCTTTTAGATCAAAACTGACTGTAGAAAACTATAATCAAAACTCTATTCTCAAACCCCAGTATTGCAGGAGACATCACAAAGGCTAAACATAAGCCTGCTGAGATTTGGGGCTTGGACTAGACAACCTCCAGCAGCCCATCCAGCCTCAACTGTTCCATACTTCTGTGATTCTATTTAACCCAGACCATTCTGTGCCAGGGCTGGTAATCTGCTACACGTTACGGTTATTATTAACACTTTATTGCATTTTTTCTCAAGGTCTGGTCTGGATTATATAAATCAATCTCTCGTACCATGAAGTATTAGATTATACCATAACTAACAGAGATAAAGATGGCACAGAACAGGGTAGTAAATGTTGGGCTCAGGAATGAGCAAATGAATAGGAATGGGTGAAGGAGACAGTGTCCAGCAACAAGCAGAAAGGCTGCAGAAAAGCAACCAGCAAAGGAGGGACTTTGTGGAATGAGAGAGAATCCAGCAGAAAGGAGGTGGGTAAAAGCTGTCTCTGATAGAAACAGGTTGACTCAGAAAAGGGAAGAACGTAGAGGCAGCAAAGAGATTGGAAAAAAAGGCAAAGACTTTACAACAGAAAGGAGAGTTAGCACAGAAATTATGTCTGCTCCACACTTTACAGTAGTTTACATTTTGACATCACAGCTTGTAAGCACAAAGAAAATGACCGGGTGTGGGACATGTTCCCTCTTTTCAAAGGTGCACTGGAAAATCTAGAACAAAGCTGAATTTCAAAAGGGAGCTCTGAGTTTAACTTTGGGAAGGATGTTGTGATCAGATCTCCTAGAAAATGAACATTTCTGTTTCTGAGTCAGAAAGTAGTGAGGGAAGGAGGTGAATCTGAGCACCAAGCTTCAGCCTGACCTCACAGCAGGTCTGAAGGGAACATCCCATCAGGAACTCCTCCACTGCCCTTGGAGCAAGGATCTGATCTGTCCCCTGAGTGCCAACCACAGCACAGCCATCTCAGAACAGAATCTCCCAGGAATGAGGCTGGAGGGGACTCTGGAGGGCCCCATAGAATCCATTCCCCATGCCAGCACAGGGGAAACTACAAAGTCCTTCACAGAACTTTTAAGTGGCCTTACATACCTCCAGTGGGAGAGTTTCTCACCTGCCTCAAGCAGTCTGTTTCTGAGCCTTCACCAGCCCTTCCTCATCTCTAGTGGGCATATTTTGGTGAACTTTAGGCCTTTTTGGTGTAATCCTGTCCCATATGGACAAGCAGATCAGGTTATTTTAATTTTCTGACACACCATGTTTACATACCGCTGTCATGCTTCCCAATCAGTCTTCTCCTCATTAGAGTAAACAATTCCAACTGCCCAAATCTCTCTTCAGAATCAAATCTTCTCTGTATACTGGTCACTCCTGGGAGGTTACTTTGACACTCTTAATTTTTCTTGAAACATACTGGCTAAAGCTGGACACGTCTCCACCAGAAGTCTTGCTTTTGCCTCTGTGGATGTGAGTACAATATTCACTGGAGGCACAGTTTTTACTTTTTCGCTGCAGAGTGAGTTTTCTGGAAATCATGAGATTTGTTAGCAGTCTTCAACTGTTATTCCTGAATCAGGCTGTTGAACAAATTGGCAGATTTTAATGGGGGTAACAGAAAGGTGCTTCAAGAAGGCACTTTCAGCCTGAAGGAGCTGTTTTATCGCAGCATTCTTACAGTTCTTGTTGATATAAAAGGAGAGCAGGATGACAGATGATGACATGGAGCAGGGATGTGCTATTGCAAAGACTGCCAGACACTTCAGCTGAATTTAAGAATATTGTATTTGGGGTGAAAGAAGCATTATTAGCAAGTACTGTAAAGAAATTCAGGATGTCCTGCCCACTAAGGAAATCACAGGTTACAGAAAGGTGGACATCTTTTTAAACATAGAGTAGTTTTTTTAACTTCAGACATACAGATGACAATTCATCAAAATCCTTCCCTTGGATCACTCTAGCAGTTGCTGTAAACAGTAAAACATGTACAGCATTCGAAGTAATTTAGCTAATGCTTGAGCACACACCTTTTCTTTTTCCCATGTCATTTCTGCTCACACTAATTCTTTTTCCTGCCCTGCCGAAAGAAATAGTGGACAATAATTTTCCCTCCCAGTTTTGGTGAGAAAACTTTGCTCTCAAAGACAGGCTGAAGGCTTTCTGCTGGAGAGGCTGAAAGAAAGCAGGGGGTTGGCAGTTCAAGGGCAGTGAGGGACATTGGGGCTGATTATATATTAAGGCTAAGGTAAAAGCCTCAGGAGGGGAGTTACTGAGTCTGAGCCCTGTCTTTCTGTGTCTCTGCCTTCTCCCTTTTTTGTCCTGCCTCATGTCTGCTCTCCTCTTTCTCTGCAGAGGATTAAGAGGTAGAGAAGATCTGACAGGATGAATTTCTCTGAGCACTTCAGTTCAGTAACTATATGTATAGAATTAGGATTTAAGATTACAGTTACAAGTAGTTTTAGGTTTTTAAACATCTGATTTTATGATGTACAAGCAGAATAAAATAGGCTGTGTGCTTACTATTATTTTCAGAGAGAACACACAGAACCTCACGTGTACTTGGAAAGACAGAGCTGAGCATTAACTCAGACAGCAGCACACTCTCCTCCAGTCTAATAATCTAGTGAATAATCTATTTTATGCTGTTACGGTGTTATAATTACATCCTCATTCATTTACTCAAAAGAAAACCAGAGCAATTTAGGTAGTCCAAGACAAAAGTGTTATGAATCTTGCCCAGTTTCAAATTCAATTACAATAATATAGTTACCTAATGCGTTACTTCAGAAGTTGAGTAGTTAAAAATAAAGCAATGAAACAAGCTGTTACAGATTTATTTTTTTTTACATTTGCCAGCAAACGTGTGGTGTCTTTGTGACGCTGGACAGGATGCCGTAGTGGAGCGAGTGCTGCAGGGCAGTTTATAATAATTAAATAAATTTTACCTAAAAAGCCCCAAACTAGAGTTCATTTCACCACAACCCTTCTTGAAGGCTGAGGTGTGACGGTGGCTGGTGAGGCAGGATGGCCTTGGTGCCACAGGGGCCTCCTTGGTGCCACAGGGGCGGCCACTCACCTCAGCCAAGAGTTAGTGTCACTCGTGCTGCTCTGCCGTGTGGGGCAACCGAACAGCGAGCGTTTGGGATGGCCTTAGGGCCGAACAGGGAGTGTTTGGGATGGCCTTAGGGCCGAACAGGGAGTGTTTGGGATGACCTGAGGGCCGGAACAGCGAGCGTTTGGGACAGCCTTAGGGCCGAACAGGGAGTGTTTGGGACGACCTCAGGGCCAAACAGCGAGCGTTTGGGACACCCTTAGGGCCGACTTTAGGGCCTGCGTTTGTGTGCGGGGCTGCGCATGCGCCGCGGGGGCGGCCACGGTCCTCTCAAGATGGCGGCTCGAGGGAGAGGCGGAGTTGGACACACTCAAGATGGCGGCAGCGCACGGATGCGCTGGCGGGAAGGACACAAAATGGCCGGCCCGAGGCCCCCCCTCCTCAGAAAGGTGCCCGCCCGCCTGCCTGAGCCGTCCCTGTCTCCGCCCCGCGGGGCAGCGCCATCCCACCGCTTTTGCCCCGGTGCGGGGACAGGGTGGAGGGTGAACGGCGCCGGGGCCGGCCGGGAGGAGAGCGGGCGGATCAGGCTGCGCCGGGGCAGCCGCGGTCGCGGCGCGCCGCTGAGGCGCGAGGGCCCCTGACGCGGCGCGGCGCGGGGCGGTGGCGGGTCCGGCCCGGCCGTGAGGGATCCGAGGGCGCTCTGAGGGCTCTCCTAGCGCTGTGCGGGCTGTGGAAGCTCTGAGGGCTCTCAGGGGGCTCCTCCCTCGCCGCCCCCCGGACCGCCGACATGGCATCGGGGCTGCGCGCCGCCGGGTTCCCCCCCTGGAAGCGGCACATCGCGGCGGAGCTTCGGCGGCGGGACCGGCTGCAGCGCCAGGCCTTCGAGGAGATCATCGTCCAGTGTAAGCGCTGCTCCGGCACCCGTCCGTGCCGTCAGTGCCTGCGGGGACGGGGCAGAGCATGGACCAGGCTCTGCTCGGGGGGCCCAGAAATGACACAAGATGAACGGGCGGGAACTGATGCTCAGGAAGCTCCACCTGGACATGAGGAAGAACATCCTTGCTGTGCAGTGGTCGAGCTCTGAACAGGCTGCACAGGGAGGGTGTGGAGTCTCCTCAGTGGGGATATTCCAGAACGCTCTGGATGCAGTCCTGTGCCACGTGCTCTGGGATGGCCCTGCCGGAGCAGGGAGGGGGGACCAGGTGACCGCCGTGGGCCCTTCCAGCCCGAGCCGTTCTGGGATTCGGGGGTTGCCCCTCCTCGAAGGCGGGAGAACCGGGGGGGCTCAGGGCCCGGGGCCTCGCTGTGCCGCTGGGACGTGTTTGTGGCAGCTGGGAAAAGTCAGGGTTCTGCTTTATCGGGGAAAATGAGTAGTTGTTTCTCGCAGTTCTCTCAGAGGATGAGGCGCTTTGTGGTGCGGACAGTGATTGAATGTGTGAATTGTCTGCCCGATTCCTGCCCAGATGCTTGTGGAGTTGGGAACAATAGTGCTATTGACCGTGCTCACGGTCCTTTGTACAACCGGGAGCTGCTCGGGGGCCGGCACTGTCTGTGCGGGGCTCCCCTGCCCGGCCCTGTCCGGAGCGGTCACCCGGCACTGGGCACACGGGGCTGGGGCTGAACGGGGCTGGGGCTGAGCGGGGCTCTGCAGGGCTGTTCTTTTTGCTGTCCTCCGAGGGGCTGCAAAGAGCCTGAACTTCGAACTCTTCCTGTTCTATCAGATAGCAATGCACTTGAGCAGTCTCTCTCTCTTTCTCTGTTAAACTTTCTTACACCAGTCCCACACAGCATCTGGACTAAGGAGGAATTCTTGGGGTTATAGGTGGGTAGTGCCTTAACCTGCTGAGATCAAAGAGGAGAGAGAGCACACTAATGTGGTGGAGGCTCCCATAGCATTTGGTTGTGTCACAGTAATTAAAGAGACTAGATCATAGCTGGTGGGAGAAGGTGGGAATCTGGATTTGCTTTCTGGTTATCTTCTTAATTGCACTTTTTGCTTTTGCAGATAACAAGCTGCTGGAGAAGTCAGACCTTCATGCAGTGCTGGCTGATAAGCTTCAAGCAGAAAAATATGACATGCAGAGCAGACATGAGATCAGGTGCGTAAAACTCCTCCTCTGTGGTGCACCCTGTAACCTAAACCTTACACAAACAGCTTCCAGGACACTACAGTGATCTGGCACACAACAAATTGGGAAATCTGTTGAACTAAAAATAAGTTACAAATGTGTCTAAGCATGTGATGAAGTTACAGTACATTTACAGAAAAGTCTGACCAAGTTTGGGACAGAAATTGATTTGTCACAAACTCACAGTGTGCAGATGGACCAGAAGGAGCTGCTGCTTCTGATCTGTTTGCCTTGTAATGCTTATAATATTTGCCTGCTCTTAGTTCCTAAGGATTATGAAATTGTTGGATTGCAGTGCAGGGAGAAACTGATGTCTTGATTTCTTTCAATCCGTGTTATTACATAGAAGGGGAGAATAGAAAAAAACCATGATTGTGAAGTGTCAGTCCCAAATGCTAAAAGGAAGGTTTCTTCTGCCTGCTGTTTAGCAGGAGTCCTCTCTAACCTGGGAATAGCACGCTGGTGCTGCAGGCAGAGGTCGTGCTGCTCATTCTGCTGGTGTTTGACTCCACAGAAAAGCAGTGTCCTTTGGACAGCCTCTACATCCCATAGGGAAAGTCTCTTGGGTTCTGCCCTTGGTGTACCTGAAGAAAAGGCAGGGCTAAGGAGCCCAGAATTCCTACTTCAATGGGAATGTTGAAGTTCTTTTTGCCCTTGTCCTGGAACCAGCACAGCTCTGTAATGCAGAACTGTGCAGGTGTGTCTGACTGGAGTACAAATCAAATCAATATAGCAGAGAAGGAGGATTTGCAGGCAAAATGTCAGTGTTTGGCCAGCAGGCTGGAGTGAGCTGTGTGAAAGTTCCCAAAAGCTTCCTGATGGCTGCAGTTGTCTTGAACCATCTCCAGTTTATGGGAATCAGATCCTGGCTGAGCACCTGCTCCAAGAGATGGGGCTGGAGTTGATGAGGATGAGAAGACAAGCACAGAAACAGCAACTTGAAGTAAATGCTAAGCTGAACTCTGATACTGTGCTCAATATATGACAGTTTTGTGAAACAGAAATACTCTTCTAATCCTAGATAGCTGAGGAAAAATGTTTTTACTTCCCTCAAGGCCAAGGGAAGAGTACCTAATTCTGGCTATAGGGGTATGCATGGCCAGAGTTGTAGGATGTGTTGGATATTACCACAGGACTTGGCTTCCTGTCTGTTTGCACACAGTGTTTCGGGAATGCAATTAGTGCAGCATTAGTTCAGCGAGGTGTTGATTGGTTGGTTGGTTGTTTTTTGAGAAGAGCATTAAGTTACTGATATCACTGTGAGGCCTTTCAGCTTCTGGATGCATTATCTGTTTCCCACTGGACTGTGACAACGTGAAATGACTGCAGAAAGGGATGCAATTGCCTTGTTCTGTTCGTCTGCTATAATGAAGTTAAAATTACGATTTTTTATAAGTTGTAATTCAAAATATAGCTGCAGATGTGCTCAGAGTCTGTGTGTGATGTGTGTATGTGTGTATATGCCTTTTAAAAGCCTGTTTTTCTCTGTTTCTGCCTCTGTGCTTTCAGAGACGTGAGTGATAAATGTTACGGTCACAGTTGTTTTGGGGAAGTGATATGTGTGTTCTGGTGTGTAGAAATTCAAGATTATCTTACAGTAATACTGTGTTGGAAAACACAATTAGTAACCACTCCAAAACTCACCCGCAATCAGGGCATAGACAGCACAATGGACAAGTGACTTGTCACACCTGGGACTGTAAACCCAAGAGCCTGGGAATTACACCCCTGATTCCCTGGATTTTGGTTCTGTGCCCTCTCCAGATACCCAGCATCTTCAAGGTCCACCAGCTCCCTCCAGAACAAATCGAGGGGGTAAAACATTTGTAATTGTTCCAGCATTTGGAGAGTGTGCTTTTCTTCGTGCAAATTTAAACGAAGGCTAGTTATCTTCCATTTGGTTTTGAATTCTGTTTTACAGATGTACAAAAAGGTGAATCTAGTCCTCAGGAAATGTAACTTTCCAGTGCTGTGTAACGGCCTTTTGGTTGGTGCAGGAGTGTGTGGTGTGGGAGCCAGGTTTGGTTTGTTGTGAATGACCTGTGTCTCTGGTGCAGTGTAGAGAATCCAGGGGAGGCAATGTCCTGAGACTGTCAAAGGCACAGAAACAATTGATTCCAGTTTGTGACATTTCTCCTCTCTCCAGCTGCAGCCCAGGACACGATGGCACGTGGAATGATGCTCAGCTGCAGGAACTGGCACAGCTGAAGATAAAGCACCAAGAGGAGCTCACTGAGCTGCACAAGAAACGTGGCGAGGTCAGAGAGTCCTCTCGTGCTCTGAGTGGTCCCTACATGGCCCTCAGGGGGTGTGACCTTAATTTTACCAAGCTTATTAATCATCATTTTTTCCTCCTTTTGTGTAGGGCCTTTTTAAGCTTCCCCAATTTTTGATGATTAAAATCAACCAGAGGTGGCTGGTCTGTAACACTGACACCAGGAGATGAGAGCTTACGCTGTCAGCACAGCATGATTTTTAAGTGCTTAATTTTGTGTTTCACTAATAGGTTTTTAACTGTACTAGAGGAGGAAGGAACTGATGTGGGTCACAGAGCTGTGTATGACCACTAGTTCTGCACTGAAAAGTGAGAGCATAGGTGGCATGTGTGGTTTCACCGGTCTTGCTTTGCAGCACCACTGCTGTGAGAGGGGACGGAATAAACGAGCACAAGCAAAGGTTGGAAGAGCCACGGTGTTGGACTGGAAAGGGAGTGCTGGGTCACAGCCCAGGAGCTCTGTGGCTATGGCACTTGGGCCTGGAAGAGAGGAAAAGCCAGGGGGTTTGAGTTTGTGGTTTTGGAGGGGTTTTTTGCAGGGAGATGTGGAGGCTTCATCAGCAGAATGGGGGTTTTTAGGAGTACAGTGGTGGACTGAATGAGTCCAGAAGCTGGTACCTGAATTGTACTGCAGACTTCTCTAGGGAAAAGGTGTGAATGACCTGGAAAATGCTGTCATGCTCCTCTGAACACATTTCACTGGAGGTGTGGAAAAGCTCCAGTGTCAGCAATTCTGAGCTTTCCAAAGGGGAGACAGCTTTTACAGGAGGTGTGCACCGACTGCTCAGGGCTCTGACAAGTCCCTCTTTCCCCCCAAGGTGGTGTTCTAAAAGCCACCTGCCCAGGCAGTACTTTTCTCCCAGCTCTGAGTGGAGAGTTGTGATCTGGCAGCTGCAGCTCTGTAGTGTTGGCAGCTGCAGCTCTGTCTACAGAGCTGCAG